ATATATATATATATATATATATATATATATATATATATAACTGCAACTAAATTGATACAAAAATCACTTCAAAATGCATGCAGTAATGACATGTCATTGGGATTTCACAAATACGCTTCATATAAAAATATCACACAAAAGATATTGCGAGCTCTACTATAAAAGAAAATATGCCAAGTGCAAATAAACACGAAAAGAAATAATGAGAAAGAAAAGAACACAACAAGATGGTAATAAAATTTCAGCTTTGTTGTATACGTTTCAGGACACTATAAACAACAATACCAATTCACTAATCTCATAAACAAAATACAACTAGTATTATACAACGGTTTATTGCACCAAATCTCTCTATATTATATGAAATCTGCGCGTTTTTTCTGGTATTTCAAAAATTGCGTCGAACCCTCTTATATTTAATGTTTACATGCACACTCGACATTTTATATTAACGTCGTTAATACGGACATCGTTACTTTTTCATTGAATTTACCATTATACTCCTACTTTATCAATGAATTTACGATTATACCCTTGCTGTAAATATGTCAACTTAAAATTAAAATACCAATGATGGGGATTGAATCTACAACTTTTGAGTTAAAAAAAATAAATAAAAATAAAAATAAAAATAAAAATTCAACCATCTGGGCTACTAGACGTTTAGTTATATTGTGATTCTAACTATTTATATCATATCATATAACAAAAATATCATAATAACTAAGTATATAGATTCTATATTATCAATAAAATAATTAAGTTTATAGATCATAATAATTAAGTATATAGATTCTATATTATCAATAAAATAATTAAGTTTATAGACTTTAATTATAAATAATATAATAATTGATTATATAGATTATAAAATATAAGTAATGTAATAATTAATTAAATATTTTCTAAATTTCAATGATACAATGATTTAATAAATATGTTCTAAAGTATAAATAATATAATGAGTAAATATATTCTAAATTATAAATACTATAATTATTCGGTAATAATATTAAAAATTATAAATAATATAATGATTAAGTAAATATATTGTAAATTATAAATGATATAATAAATATGAAAATATATTCTAAATTTTAAATAATATGATAAATAAATAAATAGAATTTGTAATAATTTATAAATAGATTCTAAATTATAAAAATACAATAATTCTATATATAGATTTAATAATTGTATAAATAGATTTCAAATTATAATTAATATAATAATTAAGTAAATATATTTTAAATTATAAATAATATAATAATAATAAAATGTAAGTATTATAATAATTTTGAATATATAATAATATAGTAAATAGAATTTACTCAATTATTATAAAATATATGTACTGAATTATTATAATACTTATAATTTATAATTATCACTATATTATCTATAAATATATTATAAATAATATAATGATTGAGTAAATTAGATTCTAAATTTCAAATGACATAATGATTAAGTAAATTTATTTTAAATTATAAAATAATATAATAATTAAGTAAATAGATTCTAAATTATAAATGATATAATAATTAAGTAAATATATCTAAAATTGTAAATAATACAATAATTAAATAAAAAGATTATAATTATAAATAAGATTATTAATATTATACATGTTTATAATTGTTCATCTTTAAATATAATTAAAATAACCAAAACTTATTTGTATTATTTATAGCTCATAATAAAGAATACTTGATATTTTAATTAATATTTTTTTGAAGTATAAATAGTTTTTATTTACTATAGAATTTAAAATAAAAAACTGTATAAACAATAAGTACTTAAATTATTTATTAAAAATTAAAAATAATAATTTTATGGAAAAAAATATATATTTATCTAACAGTTAAAAAAGGATATAATAATATAAAAATAAAATAAAATAAATAAATAAAAATCATATATAAATATTTAATACAAAATATTCTATTTACAAATTACCACTTTATTAATATTTTATATATAGAATTATCATTTTATTTTATTATACATACAATTAATTTTAAGTTAATTTATTATAGTTTAATTTTATTCATATATCTTATATTACTTCAAATCATAAATTCGTATATTTAAAATGTATATTAAAATGTATTTTATATTTATATTTTTAATTTATTTAAATGAAATTATCATTCCATTTTTATTTTAAATAGTAATATATTGATTTATTATTTTCAAATTCCACATTTAATTTTTTATTTTATTTTATTTTAATTATATTTTCTATAATTACTTTATTTTGTGATTGTTTTATTTTTTTTTATTTTTTTTTTTTGTTTGATTAAGTTTTCTTATGTCTATTGTTTTAAATTAATGTGTGTTATTTATGTACCATAGAATGATGGTGGTAGAGTGGTTTCAACTCTTGCCTATTGAGCTTTAGGCTCGAGTTCGAATCCTGGGAACAACGAAACATATTGTTTTGTTCCAACAATGGGTAGTAAAGCAAGAGGCAAAATAGTAAATTTTAATTTTAAAATAAAAATATTCACGAAAAAAATGAATAATTTCCGCATTACATAAATGTGTACTGCTAAGTTGGACGGAGAGGGGGAAATCGTGCAACAGTTTCTTAATACAAGGGGGTCTAATGCAATTTTTAAAGGGTTAATTGCTAAATAAACCTTAACCTTTTTGCGTTTGGCAATTTTATCTCAATCTTTGGGTAATTGCAATATAATTTCGACGTCAATTTACTTATTGCAAGTCGAACCTAAAACCGGTTGGACCTTCAAAAACTGGTCGATTTGAAGGCGGTTCGAACAGATCAGAGCTCATATTTACCGTTCACTCCAGATCTAGGAGGAAACTCATCACTGCTAGCTTACATTGACGTGGAATTTTCGGCTTTGTGCGTGGATATACATTAAATACGTGGAAATTGTCAACTTGCTATGTCGATGGCATAAAAACTCATGTTAATGAAAGACTTGAACACAAAATCGATTCACAAATCCCTAAAATCAATCACTTTGCACCCAAATTTGCAATAAGTAAATTGAGGTCGAGATTATATTGCAATTACCCAAAGATTGAGATAAA